GATTTTTTTTTTTTTTAGCAAGATTTGGGAGCTGATTTGATTTGGGATTGGGTGGAAAGACATGAAAAGTGAAGTTGGGAAGTGGGTATTAGGTTTGGTATACATATTTGCTGTTGCATCTATCTGGATAGCTGCCAGTTTCGTAGTACAGTCGGTTGTAGATGCCGGTGTGTCCCCGTTCCTCATCACATACATATGCAATTCTCTGTTTGTGATCTACATTCCCTTGGTTGAAATCGGGCGGTATTTGGAGGATAATTTTGAGGGGTTTTGGATTTGGAGAAGTAGGAAGAGTAGCCCTTTGCAAAGATTAGGAGATTCGGAGCAAATCACTCTCCTTGAGGAGACTGACGGAGTTGTGAAAGCAGATGCGGAAGAGGGGGAAGTGAATCTTGGTGCAGAACCGAAAGTTGTATTGTACGAGCTTGTTGGAACTTCAGCAACTCAAGACAATGGCACTGAAACGGTAGATAAGCAAGTGGATGAAAAAGGGCGTTGGACACGAACTCGAGTGGCTAAAGTTAGCCTGCTGATTTCCCCGTTTTGGTTTTTCGCACAGCTGACTTTCAATTTGTCATTGAAGTATTACTACGGTTACGGTAAGCATTTTTAGTGTTGCATGGCACACCCTGCTTCTTAAATTTGTCCATTTGTTTCATGATGTCGGTATGATTGATTTTCTGTGCTTGTTGCGTGCAGTCGAATACAATCTTAAGCAGTTCATCCAGCCTTTTCACCTTTTTGGTCGCCCTAGTATTCTTAGGGGAGAAGTTTACTTTGGTTAAGCTTATTAGCGTTCTTCTTTGCATGGGAGGAACGATAATTGTCAGCCTTGGTGACTCACGAACTGCTCTAAGTGCAATTGCTTCAAACCCTCTCCTCGGCGACATACTTGCTCTTGTCTCGGCGGCCTTCTATTCTGTGTATATTACCCTCATTCGCAAGAAATTACCTGATGAGGATGATGAAAAAAGCGGCCGTGCCAGTATGGCTCAGTTTCTAGGATTTCTAGGGCTTTCCAACCTTCTTATATTTCTTCCGGTTGCCCTTATACTTCATTTCTCCAAGCTGGAGCCGTTTTACATGCTTACCTGGGAGCAGGTCGGTCTCATCGTTGGTAAAGGTGTGTTCTTAACTTATGCTTTACGTTCTTTTGAACTTGAGTTACCTGTACAGGAGTTTGCTTTGCTTTTTTCTATTTGTCTGTGCATGCATTCTTACGATAGTTGACGTGAGGCGCAGTGATACATACAGATGATGTTGAGTTTTATGCAGTATTTCTCCTGTACTTAATCATTTACATCTTTGTGTTGTGCTTAGGTTTGTTGGATAATGTTCTGAGCGACTACTTATGGGCCAAGGCCGTTCTTCTAACCACCACGACGGTAGCAACGGCCGGTCTGACCATCCAGGTTCCGCTGGCGGCAATTGTTGACTCAATGACTGGCCATGCTCCTCATTTTGCCCGATTACCTTGGAGCCGTGGCGGTCATGATCGGATTCGCAGGCATAAACATTTCCGCTGATGCTTTTTAACAGACCAAAAAGAAGCTATACTTGCGAGAGAGAGTGAAAATATCAGTGCAAACCGGTGAAGCTCGCAATTCATCAGGCAGCCCGATTTCAGCTGCCCCTTCATAGCATGCTGAGGTCACTTGCAAAATTCGCTTTGCATTTTGCAAGTGCAAATACGCGCGTTATATTGTACCGTTATTATAATTTTTTTTTTTTTTTTGTAAATGCAACTACTCTAGTTTTTATTTTTTCAATTATCAATTACTGATATAGAAATAACTATTTACCGAGCCATATTACCATTATAAATTACGCAGGCAGACGGAAATCGAGGTTATAGACTGTTGGTTCAAGTGATCAATCAAATCTAAATGATGCACATGCCACTCAGTATTATGATCTGATGGTATTCCTCTTTACTTGAAAGTGAAAGATTTTAAGTTCAAATCTCTTGGATAATAAATTCTATACCAAATTAGGCTTCCCATTGTATGACTTAGTCGAAAGTGTGGGGATAAGGCCGACCTCGTTCCGCTACATTCATGAGATTCTACGGTTTAGGGAGTTCGCTGCTCGTGATTGACCGGAAAGGATCCGCCCCTAAATTTCCTCACGCTAGTTTACGATTACATGGGTCAAACTTAACAACAAAACCCAAACAATACCCGCCAGAGATTGAGCTCGACTCGAGAGATGGAGACAGAAGGGTGCGATAAAGTCCTCGGTGGGTGAGTCTCTCGATATTGAGTCGACCTCGCCCCGAGCTCACTCACTTTCTATTCTGGCTGAGAAAGGGAATATGTTTGATCGGTTTCATAAGTAACTGTTATTCGCCTGTTCACCGGTTCCACCGACTAGACTCTTAGAGTGATTCAGTCGATACAGAGATGCGCTTGAAGTGGGGGGTGGTGCTGCCCCTATTGGGCTGGGCCCTTCCCCATAAGGCCCCACCGTCGGGGTCAGTACTAGCGTCTTACAAATCGTATGAAAAAGCAAAAGTGTTCGTACTTTCACATACGTCCTCAACCTATTCCGAAAACAACCAATGCATATTTTGCTCCCCCCTCTCCTCTTAATATAAAAATATCAATGTACTTCCAAAAAAAAAAAAAAAAAAAAAAAACCCTAAATGACATAACGGTTAACTAAAATCATTCAATTCCAAATCACTCACAAATCCAAATGAGGCCTCTTTGAGGACAAGTATGCGGTTCTACAAGTAGTCCTTAAATATTTTAAACTACGAAGCCACGGATGAAACGCTACAAGATCATTAATTATTGAACAGAAAATACAAACACCCTATGATCGTCTACGGATTCAGCTTCATACAGGTAACATGATCACTTGATTTTATAATGTTCGGAAGCAAATCGAATTGCAGCTTCCAAAATAATTGCCAAACTCGAACACACTCTGAAAACAACGCAAACCCTTACCCTGTGAATCTCGTGGTACCTGCATGACCATATCTCTGCATCACTCTTCTCTTGCAAGCGCTGAGCCTCGCTTGCCCGCAGTGTTCCACTTGCATGATTGCAGCAAACTCAGCAGAAGATTCCTCTTGCACCTTACTTCGAGCATCCCCGAGAGGATCTACAACTCCGTTGGGGGTTTAACACACTTCTGATGCTCCCCGTCCTCTGCTTGGTGACCTGCTGCGCTCAATTTTCGATTTTCACCAGTCTCCTTGTTGAAGTGCTCAAGGGTTTCGCAGTGTTAGACATCGTTTGCACCATGGAAGTAGGCCTGAACTGGAGCTTGAGGAGCAGCACCACTTCTCAATGTTGCTTCAGATTCTGTTCATGGGCACTGCAAAACAACGGCAGAGAAACCCACATTATTGAGTTTTAACCACATGGTTCTCCCATTAACCGCAATCCTTATTTCAATTTTAAAGTCATTGTCTGAAATTAAATGGCTTTAATCTAAATTTCAAAGTACAAATACGCAAACATGGAAGACTCTAATTTACTATCACTATCAAATAGAGCTCAGTATTAGCAATGGATAAAATAAAACTACTAATAAGAGCTCATTGGACTGCCCATAACTTCTTAGGAAGCTGCAAATATAGTTCCGGAATGGTGCACCCACCAAAACTGAGCAACCTCATTGCTAAAGTTGTTGCAATTGTGAGTAAGAAACTATAGGTTTCCGCAGTACCGGGACTGATCTTCCTGCAAATACATCTCAAATACATCCTTGGGCACATGTGTGACACCCAAATTACCACTTTAATTGGTGTCCCATACGGTGTTGACCCAGCGGAGCATGTTGTATGCCTCCCCAAATAGTACTCATTACCAAAACCACCAATCCGTGTGCCTGCGATTGAAAATCGCATAGAAGATTTAATTACCTTTACACAAGCTTGCTGGAAGAAATTGACTACTCTCGTATTCCAACGTATCCAAACCCTGTCCCTCTAGGTCATGAAACCCTTGAGCTGTAACTTCAGAGACAATGTCCTGAAATGGTATTTGAAGGGGAAAATCAGGTAGGCTGGCATAGCGTGAATGTCACCATCTAGGCATTTACAACAGCATTTTCCATTTCATTCGTAGACCAACAAAACGAACAAAATTACAATCCTTGACTAATCGTAATATGGAGAGTTTGAACGTGAAGTTCACCATTTAAGCATTAACAATAGCATTTAGCCTTTTCACTTGTCGACCAACAAAGGGAACAAAATTTACAATCCTTATATCAAAAAATGATCAAGTCATATACAGAGAGTATGATTGCCAAATTTTGCTACATCAAAATTTGCTACTTAAAATCATAGCGGTGATTAGTTTTGAAGATTGTGCAATCCAATAAGGATAAAGTTGTTATGTTCTTGGTAAATAATTAGGACAAAGTGTTGGTTCAGAATCCATTATATTTAACTCAGAATGCAAAACTGGCATCCAAACATTTTCAAAACACTACTAAATTGTATAACCTACACTTGATCATCAAATGTTAGCTGTAGATTTTAGCACAGCAAAAGGCACACCTCTGTAAGGTAAATCAACCTATTTGAAGAATAATACAATGACCTTAAAAGACTGACCTGGCCCAGATTACTCAATCCATCATGGCGAGGAGTATCCATGGCACACCATGGAAGTTTTTGTAGTTCAGACTCGAGTTCTGCTTCCAACTGATCCATGTCCATAACCTCAGGATGTGGCTCCTGCTCTTCTGTAAGAACACTACTAGCACATTCACCATCCTCAGATACAGTAAAACTGGACATTTTCATATGACTGGGGCCTCTGTTTTCTGTACTTGACTTGTTGAGTTCTGGCTGAGTAAGCGTGCAACTAGTTGTATTGGCTTCACCTGCAGAGCCCGAAACTTGCAGATTTTGCGGTGATTTTCTTTTATGAAGCTCAGATTTTAACTCCTGCACAATTCTTGCAGTCTCATCCATAGCTGTATTCAGCTTATTGATCTCAACTTTTCCAGCAGACATCATGTACATGATCCCAACATTAAGTCCCCAACCAAAATAATGTTGAATCTGAATAGTATAAAACAAGAAGTAGATTGAAATGTTAAACTCCTAGAATCACGAATATTATGTTTGTAAATTGTGACTCTAAAACAAAAACAGACTTAACAAAATCATCACAGGCTCACGCCCAAGGAAAAGCTTCTAGAAGACTACTACAAAAATGCTGATCAAAACTTGGATACCAATTTTGCATTTCGAGGATGTGTGGAGTTAAAATCGCAATATAAAGATCAAACGCTTTCATGGTTTCAACTTTTAATTAGAATTTCAGGAGCAAACTTCAAGGATCACCTGACAACTATGACCACCTAATCATTTGAATTTGGAAATTACTTCGGACTCAACCGTTAATATAAAACCCTATTTAATCATTTGGCAACAACTTAAGCACCATCAGTAAGAATTCATATAAGGCTGCGGCAGCCAGCCTGCAGAACGTAACCTACTGGAACTTGTGCAATTAGCTTATCTGAACATGACAAACAGAATTGCAATAATATACAATCAGCATCACCGCCTTTTTGCAGGAAATACGAATATGTAACAAAACAGAACCTCCAAGACCATAGCCCTATGTTTATGTTGAAGTGAAATACTAAACAAATCACCACATGAGAGATTTCGATATGTTTAGATAGGCTTTGTAGCAAAACAACAACCGTGGTCCACCGAATGCTTTCTCAAAAGCGATTAGATGTCAAATGAAAATTTTTAAGGCTCATCAACGATATTCAACACTAATCCGATAACCGATATACAAGTTCAGAGAACTCTACTTTTCCAATGTTGATTGTTGGGTAATGATGGATGACATATGCTGTAAAGTATGACTTCAAAAACGATCAAATATAACAACAAAAACTTTCCAAAAGAAAGCTTTTCATAAAATCCCAAATTAAAATAAACCCAGAAAGCAATCCAGGGCCTACATTGTGGACACTGATGTTGAAATATCATAAACAATTGGGAGATTTTCTCAGCAACCAAACAGAAGCAAGAAAAGAGAGGGAAAATCGCGAAGCTAACCTTTGGAAGAAGACGATCCACATTTGGTAGCAGCTACATTCTTCCCAGTCTTCCTCCTCTTCAAGCAAACTCCAACACCTCTCCTTGCAGTCCTCCTCTGTTCTGTACCGTTAGATCTCTCAGCCTCAGCAGCAACCCCTTTCTTCTTGATCGAACCGGTTCTCTTCCTCAACCGGAACCGCGTCCCACTCCCGCCGCGACCCGACGCCGCCTCGCTCGAAAACCTAAAGATCGTCCCTTCTCGTTGCTCCTCGAAGTCGCTGGTCTCCCAGGGAGGCGGCTGAGACTGAAATGCCGACGCGACGGAGAAATTGTAGGGGCCTGTGCAGGCAGTGTTCCTCATTGTGATCGGCGGGCGGATCGGTATCGGCGGTGGGTTTGAAAAAGATGTGTTTTCCGGCGAGGAGCCCTGTGGAGGCCGCAACAGCTGCGGCGAATAATTGCCACATTGAAAAAGGCACTTCAGTCTTCACTGTGTCTCACACTCTCACTGGAACTGAAGAAATGGCAGCTATCTCTCTCTCTCTCTCTCTCTCTCTGCAGGTGCAAACATTGTAATTACCAATTTACCCAGCGTCGCACCTACCTCCACGAGGAGCGTTGCCCTGTCCGCTTTCGGACCTCTCTGGTGCTCCACGTGCTTCCCGCTTTCACGGGCTGTCCGCTGTCGAGTTTGGGAAAACAATTAATTTGGTTTCCTTTTTTGAAAATTTTCCAATCTATTCAAATTTAAATGTAGTCATTAGTCAGCACTGAGATGTCAACCCAACCATCTATTTAAATTATATTTTTATAGACCTTTTAAGGAGAGGGATACTCTTTTTTTTTTTAATGGAAATTAGTTGTAGAACCCACACGACATTGAACTTCAACGATCCAATTGGTTTAACGGGAATATGGCTGCCGATTGGTTCCTAGAGCATTCACAAATTCATGAACCATGCAATTGGAAAAGTGTGCTTAACAATTTACGCAACTTGTATTGAATATTTGTGTGCTGAACAAACATGCAAAAAATTACCAGCACACAGTAACTCAGGCCTCGTTTTGGTACGTTGAACTTCCAAGTATCACAACCTACTATATTTTCCTAATGCAGAAGAGCAGTTTAAACTCCCAAACGATGCGTCTAACGAGCTTATAGTAAGAGACACTGAGTAAAACATTTGTCAGTTGATTGAGTTTTTTCTTAAACATGAAAGACATTGTCCTCCATGGCATGGCACAATGATGAAGTTTATCAGATGAAGGAACAAAGAAAAGTTTTCCAAGGAATTCCATCGGAAGTCCGAGTTCCGAGTTGTATGAAGTCGAAAACATAAATTACTGCAGTAGTGCTGATAAGTGAAATAGTGTTGTTGAGCCTACAAGTTACATGTGAAGCAACTAGATTATGATCCTTAGAGAACCATAAAACATTCACAAATTCATGAGCCATGCAATTGGAAAAGTGTCCTGAACAATTTACGCAACTTCTATTGAATATTGTGTGCTGAACAAACATTGTAAAAAATTGTCAACATAGGGTAAGAATCTCAACTATAACAGTCCGTTCACAACGCACTCTCTTCTCTAATACATAAGAGCAGTCTAAACTCCAAATGATCCGTCCAACTGGCTTCTAGTTTAATTATTTTTCGAATCAAGCAATACAAACGGAATAGTATCTCCTCCATACAAGTAAAATCCGAATAATTAGACAGAAATCTTGAGCAACTTACCTGGAAAAGAGAAAAAAAAAGAGCATTTAATAATATAAATGTGAATATCAAAAGGTTTAAATTTTAACCACAACACAGAGACGCAGAGCAAACATTTGTAAAATGATGGAGAGTTCTGTAACATGAAGGGCAATTGTCCACATGATCGAAAGGGAATAACATAATATTGCTTTGTCATCCATGGCACAAGAAAGCAAAATTTAAACTATGGAATCGAATGGATAGGGGGGGACTCAACAACTTCCAATTTGCTAGTCTGTGATATATGTTACTTACTATGTAAGATACGCAAGTATATATTTATTAGGCATCAACACATTGTCATTCTCAACAAAACCTAAAGTTTCTTCAACTTGGATTTTCTGATGTCACTGTTTCTCATCGTTACAGATGACCATGGAAAAAATTTAAAGTTCCGCCATTATGTCGTTGATACAGACCTACCTTGTCACAAAATTATCTGGATTGTGGGATGCCATTGGAAAGAAAGCAGCACTGACAAATTTCTTTAGTAAACACCTTAATAAATAAACAAACAAAATGGGCTGTACTACAGCATTTCACTGTTCGGACAAATGTAGTTTCTTAATGGATTATGGAACATAACTTTCAGCACTCTTACCCTAAACCCTACACCATAAGTGAAATTTCGGAAAGCTAGTCTAAAGTAGATTGAGGATCAGGGCGGTGGGTGGGATAGAAAGGTAGATGATAATAGAGATTCTTTATCCAACTCTGTTAAATTGCTTGGAACCAATCTTTGAACAATAAACACATACACTCTCAATCCAAGTAAAGAATCTCCATTAAAGTTTAGAAAAGAGCATGAGAATGGGTGAAGTTGAAGCCCCATTACAGCATACAAACTATATCGAACAGCCATGATTAAGCACATTTATAACTATGATCTCACGAGTTATGACAAAGTGAACCAATTTCCTCAAGACAAAGACCTCCTTCAGGAAAAAGAAAACCAAAATACAGAGGACAAGAACGAAAAACTAAAGCTACAATATCTTGCAGTTATAAGTCTATATAGAGGTATAGAGAAACTGCCTCCGCCAATTGAAAAAATATACACTCTTCCCCCAACCCTACTATCCCATGAACAGTTATAAATACTAAGTCATTAAGTCAACTGTGGGTAATAATTTTAAGATCTAAATACGCATTTCATGTCAGCTTTGCAGCTAGACACCCTCTAAAGCTAAAGGGCTGTAGGGTGTTCTCTGAAGCTTTTCTTTATAACCCCAACAGGGTCTTTCTCTGAAGCTTATCTTTATAACCACATAGATAACGCATTCACCAAGTATTTTGTCACAATTTCTATGGGATTAGATTACAAATAATTATATTGTGTATCGTCATAACTTCCCTACCTAAAGTCCCCCCCTCCCCTGAACGGTTATGATTCCAACTTCCTCAAAACTCTAGGAATATCCTTTGAAACTTACTTCGACTTAAATTAACACCAAAACCGACAAGGTTTGCACTTGAAAAATGGACAGCATAGCGTTCAAGCAACAAAGCCACAAAAATTCAGGCGCAGTCCATAGCAACAACAAAATGCTAGAAACCTGTGAGCCCCTCTTCCCTAATGTTACCCAAATCACTACTTGATCAACTAATCAATAAAAATGCAACACTCAATTAAGATAATGCAATGACATTCCGTTCAATCATAGCTCACCAAAACATATAACAAACGAATATATCTAGCATCTCTAGCATAACTTCCATAGCTCAATTCAGGAACTAAAAACGCACAGAAATGGTTACATCGCACATACCCGAATGAGCTTTCATCAATTCAGTTAATCTTGGCAGCCAGTTTACTCCTCGCATCCCGCGCATTATCATACTCAAACTTCAACACATTGGGTATATGAGAAGTATCCTTGATATAAAAATACCTCCCAAACCAGCTCTCTTCGATCATCGGAAAGCTACGGTAAAGCACAGAGTTCACAACCCAGAACCACACCGCCCCGAGAAACACTCCAAAAGCCGATCCCGCAAACACCTGAGCCACCGTGTGGTAACCCAAATAAACCCTCGAAAACATAGTCAGCAAAGCCAGAACCCATGGAAGAAAAAACCACCGCCAACTTGTTCTTGGTGTCCCAGAGCCCAATCCCCTTGTAAGTCAAGAGGGTGAAGTATGTGGCGAAGAAGAACATGTACTGCGAGTGACTCGACGGCCACCCGTGCGAATCGCACATCTCGAGTATAGCGCAGGTTTCCGGCCGAGCTTGCTGGAAGAAATCCTTGATGAGCTCGTTGATGATCTGGGAGATTACAAGGCCGACGAAGAAGAACATGCCCTGGAGTTCACGGCGGAAGAAGAAGTGGCAGAAGAAGCCGCCGAAGTTGATGAATACTGGGACGAGGGAAATCCAAGCGAGGAAGTGACCCAGTTGGTCGCCTCTCTGGTACTGGACGTAAGTCAGCGTCACGGCTTTGAGAGACGCCGAAACCATGGCGGAGGATTCTGCGTTTTGGGTTCTGGATTGAATCCGAGGTTGTGGGAGTTGGGGATTGCGAATGGCGTCTCGCCGGATCTAGGTTGTGAGGGAAAGGATTTTTGCGATGGGTTGGAGTGAAACTGTTTCGTATATGGAGAAAGTTGAAAAACACGTTGACGCGTGAAATTCATTTTTATTTTTTTTATATTTTTATAAAACGGTTGGGAAAGAACCGCCAAGAAATGTTGGGCTCTGTCGGGTGCAGATGGACTTGGTAGGGTAGAAACTGGAAGGCCCAAGAGATTAGGCCCGTAATAGACCCTTGGACCCAGCCCATGAAAGTACGTAAACTAGGTCTTTCTATTTTCTTGTTACCAATTCACCATGTGACAAAAATATTTCAAACGGGTGGTTCACTTTTTTAGCCAATAACATTAATCGATTACATGCTAAATCACAACCAATTCACTTAGATTATAAATTGATTGCAAGGGAGAAGGGTTAGCGTTTTCGTTAAAATTTTCACCGAGCCCACTCCACTCCAATTTCTATAAGTCCTCAAATGTAGGGATTTTTCTACACACTCTGGCAAAGCCCTATACTACAATGGGCCTTGGTCCTCATGTATAAGATCATACGGTGGTAGACCCTAAATATAGGGTACCATTGGTGATGCTCTTATTGTTGTAGGGATCGCAGATGAATCCCACAGGTATAAACCCCTTACGAAGAGGGGCAGTAAGAAGAGCAACCCATTGAGTGCTGTAAGGATTACAGATGATGTAATCACGTTGATCTTCCGAGGTTGATGGCACAGAACTAAGGGGATGTAATCAATTTGAATTTCAAATAATTTTAATAGACTTTTTTTTGTAAGTGTCAGAGTTGTAAGGATTTTAGTGAGTGTAATCAATTTGGATTTCAGATGATTTTAAATGACATTTTTTAAATGACAGCTTTTAAAGAATTTTAATAGACTCACAATTCTATGTGAATTTTGGCAGATTTATATAGATTTTTTGTATGAACTTCTTTCATGAATTTCTTAGGATTTAATTGACTCCTACAACATAAAATGAATTTCTTTCCCAAGGCACAATCTGAACCTCTATTTTGTATGTCTCGATTTATAGATTATCTTTACAAAAATTCAATTCAATCCGAAACTATGTTCCCATTTAATATTCACGATAAAAAATTTCACTGTTTATTAGAACAAAGTGTTTGTCAATTTCTTTGAATCCATTTATATGCCTCAAATATTTTTGATTTGGCTAATATTTTGCAAATAGGATCTATGAGGTGGAACTTGAAAAGTAAACAGTTTGAATCGTTGAAGTTCGATGTGGTGTGGAACTAATCCCTGTTTTTTCAAAAAATGGAGATCTCTTCCTTTATAGGCTCATATATACTGATATGGAATTACAAACGAATCAAATATGTCTTTCCATTTTCTCATTTGAATTTGTGATTTTTTTCAACTGATATATCTTATAATCAAAGCTAACAAGTACATAAATCAAA